TCCAGCTTTGTTCCATTGCTGGTGAGGAGCTGCTTTCCTTTGGAGGGGGAGAGGGGCTCTGATTTTTAGAATTTTCAGCTTTTCTGCTCTGTTTTTTCCCCATATTTGTGGTTTTGTCTACCTTTGGTCTTTGATGATGGAGATGTACAGATGGGGTTTTGGTGTGGATGTCCTTTCTGTTTGTCAGTTTTCCTTCTAACAGTCAGGACCCTCAGCTGCAGGTCTGTTGGAGTTTGCTGGAGGTCGACTCCAGACCCTGTTTGCCTGGGTATCAGCAGCGGAGACTGCAGAAGAGTGAATATTGCTGAACAGCAAATGTTGCTGCCTTATCATTCCTCTGGAAGCTTCGCGTCAGAGGGGTACCCGGCTGTGTGAGGTGTCAGTCTGCCCCTACTGGGGGGTGCCTTCCAGTTAGGCTACTCAGGGGTCAGGGACCCACTTGAGGAGGCAGTCTGTCCATTCTCAGATCTCAAACTCCTTGAAGAACCACTACTCTCTTCAAAGCTGTTAGACAGGGACATTTAAGTCTGCAGAGGTTTCTGCTGCCTTTGGTTTGGCTGTTGATGTTCTTCTTAATGTTAAAGTCTCTGAAAAGTATTCAGGGCTCCTTCAGCATTTAAGAAGTAGTCATCTCCATGTTTACACATTTTTATTTCATTTTTCCTTTCCAAGCTTTCCATCCTCTTTTCAATAAAGGAACTGCATCTCGCTCTGTTGTCCAGGCTGGAGTGCAGTGGCGTGATCTTGGCTCACTGCAACCACCGCATCCTGGGTTCAAGCGGTTCTCCTGCCTCAGCCTCCCAAGTAACTGGGATTACAGGTGCCTGCCACCAGGCCCAACTAATTTTTGTATTTTTAGTGTAGATGGGGTTTCACCATGTTGGCCAGGCTGGTCTCAAACTCCTGACCTTTAATCTACCCACCTCGGCCTCCCCCAAGTACTTCTTCTTTGTCATTTTCATGGCCAGTCCATGAGATGCCTTATCTAATTTAACTAGAACTTACTAACAGATTTGAAGTAAGAATAACAAAATGTTAGGCACTATGTCATCAGATTTAATTCAGTTCCATGGTGCCTATTAAGTGTAAATCCTATTGAAAAACACATTTCAGTTAATGAAGTGTACTGTACTTAGTGAGAAAATGTAAAAGTAGGAAAAATTAATCAAAGTTATGGTAATTTATTATAATACAAAATAACAAGAAACTCATTCTGTGAAATGAATGTATTACTTGTTTAAATAAAATATCTAATTTAAAGAAAACAAAAGAAGAAATGATAGGTGCTTATCTAGCCATACACAAACCTTAGACATAACAGGTCAGATGTTTGTGTTCATATCTGTGTATAGTTCTCTGTAAATATGTGAGTAGAGACCATGTTGATTGTGTTCATTTTTTTCAACAGGCTGAAGGAATGGAAAAATCATATTCACAGTCCATCTTATTAGATTTGACTGACAATAGGCTACAGAGTACTCTGAAAACTTTGAGTTTTTCATTTCCTCCTAATACAGTGACTGGCAGTGAAAGAGTTCAGATCACTGCAATTGGTAAGAATAGAGTATATCACCATTGATTAATTTAATTGTATGCAATCATATATGTTGTTCCTGTAATTATAGATGTATTTTCTTATTGAGTCCTAATAAGAAGAGATGGCAAGAGTTTTAAATTGGGCCCAACAACTGATTGTAATATGAAGGCTGGCAAATCATGTATCCTAAAATAGTTCTCAGTCATCAATGTGCGTAAGAATCACCTGGGAGTCTGGTTTACTAGGTCTGGAGTGGGGCCTGGGAATCTGCATTTCAAACAAGCTCCTAGGTGTTGGTGATAGTTTTGGCTTGTAGACCACACTTTGAGTAGCAAGGCCTCACTATACTGTGACAGGAGGGAGGGGTCATTCCTAAGAGCAGAGCTTCTGGCTTCTGCGGCTCTCCACCACTGGTGAATATCAGAGTCTTCTAAGGAGCTCTGTAAATACAGAAATGTCTAAGCTCTACTCTAGACCTACTAAGTCAGAATCGCTTGGGCTATGGCTTGGTCATGTATATCTTAAAAAGCTTTCACAAGTGATTCTGATAACCAAAGGTTGAGTACTACTGCCTAGAGCAGTTCTCTGTGCAGGATATGAGTAACCTTTACAGTAGAAAGTTACTCACTGACTTCGGTCACCTCTCCTAGTTACTTTCCGTAACATAATAGTACTTTTCAAAAATTGGCAATTTATAGTTGTATAAATTTATGGGATACAAAGTGGTATTATGATTTATGAATGCAATGTGGAATAACGAAATCAAGCTGGTTGACGTACTCATCACCTCAAATACTTAACTGTTTTTTTTTGGTGGGGGGAGAACATTTGAAATTTGCTCTCTGAGCACTATTTATTTATTTATTTATTTATTTTATTTTTGAGATGGAGTCTCACTCTGTCGCCCAGGCTGGAGTGCAGTGGCGCGATCTTGGCTCATCTGCAAGCTCTGCCTCCCAGGTTCATGCCATTCTCCTGCCTCAGCCTCCTGAGTAGCTGGGACTATAGGCACCCGCCACCACGACTGGCTAATTTTTTTTCTATTTTTTAGTAGAGATGGGGTTTTACCGTATTAGCCAGGATGGTCTTGATCTCCTGACCTCATGA